GATATTCTCTCTTACTGTAGCACCCCAATTCCTCAACCCAGGCTCACCACATGAGACCCAAGCACAAGACCACACTGTCTAAGACCTATAAGCCGCTGAATACTCACTCAATTACTCCCAAAAACACCACATTCCAGAACACTTTACTCTGAGGAACTTCCTGCGAATCTAAATTGCTTTCCTGATACTGATACATAGAATCCTATAATCAATATAGAAATATCACAAGTCTTGACCTCTTCCAATGAAAGCACAGTTTCTAACCTCATATACAACTTTAAGATACCCAATTGTTACATGTAGAACCTCGAACACATTAGAACCATTCTCCAGAGTCACTCACTCTCTTCAAACTACAATTAGCTTAATCAAACAAACGGAACCGCCCGTGCCTCATTAGCACTCTAACACCGCAAAATGAAATCCTCATCCCAACACATCCAAGCAACTTCCTGCTCTATGCACCGAGTATTCTTTACCAACAACAACATAAGACATCCCGTGATTTTTCTTACTCTATGAAGCATAATATAACCTTTGTCAAAAAATTTACTCTACTCGAGTCATCCTTGGTCTCAATTTCCGCAAGCCATAACTGATTCGCCCGGATGCCTCAAACTGGATCCAAGATAGCGCCTAACCGTGCAACCAACTACTCACAATAGACTCCCCCACTTGGCTCAGAGCCATATATCAAAATACACCCGATAACTCATAACATTTATACTCTATTGATGCCATAATACCATAGTGAGATTAAGCTCAAATCCTTTTGTAAGCTTGTGAAAACACAGATCATCTAGTACTTTAAATCTTCTGCAAATCTTGAATTCATCCCCGCAACAGTTAAGCCCACTCTCTTAAGCGACCTGAAATTTCAAATTTCGACACGTACTTTTCACTTACACCTGAGATCTTCTAACATACACATAAGGATCACACCACTTCAGAACACTCCATAGGAGATAACCACCTGCTTCGTCTCAATCTAAAATTTCTGTAAACCTTCCACCGTCATATACATTACACAGTTACTTAGTCTTCCTAAGTCTGGACTCGTACCGCAACATAAAATTTACTTCACTCTCAACTGGAAAACATGAAAAGATCCTTCACGCGCCTATAATTCAGGGCTATACTTCGAATCAAGATGGAATTCAAGCACCTAATAGTTCTTCTATCCTCCAGCCGGCCTTCCTCGTTACTTCCAAGTCGTATAGATACATCTCGCAGTACTAACATACTCACCACACAGTTATCCAGCCATCACTTCCACTAATAGGGACAATATTGAACATATAAGTGCAACACACTTGCTCACACAATCAGCACCTCGGTGCTCAATCCATAGGCAAAGATCCGGCCTCAAGTTCTCCAGACTGGCCCAACATCAAACTCACAGAGATCACATCTCGCCCCTCGATTAGGGAATCAAAAGCCATCAAGGTACATCTAATACTGAGAGATCATGCGCGCATGCAAATGCGTGGAAGGAATTTCAAGAGTTCCTTTTCAAGCTGGATCAAGGACGCACGATAAGAATTCAAAAATGTGAAGTTTTTCCTAAAGGTTCGGCAACCTCTCGAGGATAAATATAGACATCTCTGTACCGATCCGCGAGACTCTACTAAACCTGCTCATGACTCGTGAGACCTATGTAACCTAGGCTCTGATACCAACTTGTCACGACCCAAACCCCGATCCGGTCGTGATGGCGCCTCTTGTGAAGACAAGGCCAGCCAACCAACCCATTTCGCCTTTTCAGAATAGTTAATATTAATAAACAGTTTTAGCATAATTAAATAACCACAGTCTAAACAAAAGTTTTCTTTATTAAGAGGGGTATACAACACAAACACAGCCCAAACCAGGGTATCACAAGTCACGAGCATCTATTAGAGTATAAATACAACTGCAAGGCCTGAAACATATAAAATAGGACTGATAAACAAAAGAAAGAAATGCAGTGCTGCGAACGCTGGCAGTCACATCACTAAACTCTGATAACTTAGCCTCCGACCAGCTCAAAACCCGCTACCGGGTGAACAAATACCTGCATCTGCACACGAGGTGCATGGAGTAAAGTGAGTACTCCAACTCAGTGAGTAATAAAGGTAAATAATAACTAAGTAGTAAGAAATCGCGTAAAACAAACCATCATGATGTATAGAGCACTCTAAAACCATTTGAGTATGAGCAGTGAAACTGTGAAATCTTTGGAAAAACATCTTAGCTCAGTTTAAATCTCTTTTAAAAATGTCTTTTTCAACGGTTACGCAAATGAGTGCAAAACAAATAGTGCAGATAAGCACGAAAATCCGCCCCTCGGGCACAACACTCAATTAACAGATAATGCCAGGCAATCAAATAGATATCACATGAAGTAGCACAAACAACAGATAATGGCAGACAAATGAAATAAAGTTAATACATAGAATAGTACAAGCACCGCTGTGGCGTGCAACCCAATCCATATATCGTTGCGGTATGCAGCCCGATCCATATATCTCGTCAACGACGCTCACTGGGGTGTGCAGACTCCGGGAGGGGACCCTTACGACCCAAGCACAATATATAGCTATATTGTGGCATCAAAATCTAGGCCCTCAGCCTCATATCAGTATCAGTATAACACTGTTGCGGCGCGCAGCCCGATCCCTTAGTATCCTCACATCTGGCCCTCAGCCATACTCAGTCCAGAAATCACATAAGCCCCTCAGGCATTAGTAAAACAGTAGTTCTCAGCCCAATACATCATTTACTATATCATTTTAGTTTCAAAACTGAGTAAAAGTGGCTGAGTTGTAAAACAGTGGAAAACAGTACGACTGAGTTCAAGTAGTAGATCAAAATAGTGAGGAAATAGTGATAAAAATCCCCGGAGGGTTCAAATAGTTGGCTCGAAGCCCAAATATGGCAATCAGTCCAAATAATGATAATAACAAATAAGTTTCAATCAAATATGCGGTAAAAGCATTAATCGAGATGGGCCAAGTCACGATCCCCAATAGTAAACGACCCCACGCTTATCATCAAGCGCGTGTCTCACCTCAATATAGCACTACGATATGTAAATCCGGGGTTTCAATCCCTCAGGATATCACTTACAATCATTACTCACCTCGAACCGGCTAAATCTCTAGCTCGCGACGCCTTTACCCCTCGAATCGGCTTCCACGTGCATCGAATCTATCCAAAATCAGAATGAATACATCACAATATGCTAAGGGAACAAACCCCAAGCGAAAACAATCAATAACGGACACAAATCCTGAAATTACCAACACCCGAGTCCCGGGTCCACTTCTCGAAACTCAGAAATTTTTACATTAACGGGTTCCTTATCCTTCTACGAGTTCATACATATCAAAAGTTCTCAAATCCGACCTCAAATTGTCCTTCAAATCCCAACTCAAAAGTTCAAAATCCCAAGCCCTAGTTCTTCCATTTTTAGCTTAAATTCCATGAATTTCTAGGTTAATTTCGCAATAGAATCACGTTTTAGGTTCAAAAAGCTTACCTCCAATAAATTCTCCATGAATCCCTTTTCAATTTCCCTCAAAGAGCTCTCAAAATACTCAACTATGGAGGAATAATGGCTCAAAATCGCGGATGAAATGTTTTATAAACTTTCTGCCCAGTTCTGATATTCCTTCTTCGCGAACACGATCAAACTCTCGCGTTCGCGATGCATAAATTTAACTTGACCAGATTTCCTTATACGCGATCGCGACCAAAGGCTTGCGAACGCGATGCTTTAGACTCCTCAACCTATGCGAACGCGGTCCCACTTACGCGAACGCGAAGAGCAACTGCTCCTGGACCCTTCACGCGCCAACTCCACTATGCGAACGCGACCTACCCTCACGCGAACGCGAAGCACCGGCCTCCCACCGTTAGCGAACTTGAGGCCTCAAATGCGAATGCGAAGGCCAAACAGACCATCCCAAAATCCTTCTAGGCGATCGCGACTGGCCCCACGCGATCGCGAAGGTCAATGTCGTCTGCAACAGCTGAACAGTTTCTGCAATGATCCAACACCAAAACTAGCCCGATTGGCCACCCGAGGCCCCCGGGACCCCAACCAAAAGTACCAACACATCCTAAAATCTCATTCAAACTTGTTCCAATCATCAAAACACCTCAAACAACACCAAATCTATCAATTCACATCGAATTCAAGCCTAAGTTTTCTAAAGACTTCCGAAATATGCTTTCGATCAAAACCCCAACCAAACCACGTCTGAATGACCTGAAATCTTGCACACACATCACAAATGACATAATGAAGCTACAACAATTCTCAGAATTCCATTCTGACCCTCGGATCAAAATCTCGCCTATCAACCGGAAATCGCTAAAATACTAACTTCGCCAATTCAAGCCTAATTCTACACCGGACCTCCAAAACCAATTCCGATCATACTCCTAAGTCATAAATCACCCAACGAAGCTAACCAAATTATAAAAATTATGTTCCGAGCTCATATACAAATAAGTCAACTCTTGGTCAAACCTTTCAAATTCAAAGCATTCATCAGAGACTGTTCTTTCAAATTCCTTCCGATTTTCCTGAAAACCAAAACCAACGATCTACATCAGTCATAATACATCATACGGGGCAAATCATGCCCGAGAACTGGCGATCAAAGTGCAAAAGCTCAAAACGACCGGTCGGGTCGTTACTGCAAATCTACTGCCATGGTAGTTGGTTGCATGGTTATTTTAAAATATTCTAATCCTAAGACAATTTACACACCAAAAGACATACAAACTGACATGTTGTCTGAACACGGCATGAATCTAACCTACATGAAAGCTTGGAGAGCAAAGGAAAAGGCTTTACAACTTTTGAGAGGTCATACTGCTGACTCCTACAGCTGATTGCCTAGTTATTTGTATATTCTGGAGAAGACTTATCTGGGGTCTGTAGTTAAATTGAAGAAGACGTACGATGACTGCTTCTTATATGTATTTGTTGTGGTTTGTACGTCAATCAGTGGTTGGGAATATTGTAGGCCAGTTGTAGTAGTTGATGGGACCTTCTTAAAGTCAGCATACAGGGAAATAATGATAACAGCTAGTACAATGGATGCAGCAGGTATTGAAGTTTTAGTGTAGAAATATTGTAGCTTGTCTGTTTTTTGTAGTACTTGTAGATTTATTATAGATATATTGTAGAAAAGTTGTAGTTTGTATGTATATGTCTTCTTCTGCATTTTTCCTGCAGCCAATTAATTGCTTTTTGCCTCATAATATAGGTACCATATTACCATTGGCATATGCTGTTGTTGATTTAGAAAATGACGCATCTTGGAAGTGGTTTGTTGAGCAATTCAAACACACGTATGGTGAAAGACCAAACATTGTAAAGTCGTTGAATGTTGTTACAAAATATGCAAGAGAGCTGCCGATAGTAGAACTATTAGAGTATATGAGGACTCTTCTTGAACGTTGGACGAAAGAAAAGTTATTAAAAGCAAAGGGTACATTCACATACCTTTGGTTTAAATTCAACAAAGAGTTGGATGACAACAGAACATTATCGCACAAGCTTAGAGTAAGATCTGATAATTTATTGCATTAAATTAATTTATACATGACAATGTAGATAATTTGTAGATATTTTGTATTTAACCGTATATGAATTGTTTTTTGTTTGTAATGTAATTGTAGGTGAGGGCTTCAACAGACTACATCCATACAATACTAGATGGTGTGAGGCGCTATATTGTTTGTCTTGAAAACAAGAGATGTAGTTGTGGGCAATTCCAGCTTGATGAACTTCCTATTCCACATGCTTTGACTGCTTTAAGATGCAGGGATGAGTCTTTTGAACAATATTATTGTCCTTATTACACAAGGGAGAACCTCTTTCATACTTATGAAATACCAGTAAATCCCCTGCCTGATGAAAGCAAATGGAATGTGCCACAATATATATCTGAAGAAGTAGTAAATCCACCTACATGAGGGAAAAGGCAGCCAGGATGACCTCAAAAAGAAAGATACAAAACATATGATGAAATAAATTCAAAGAAGTACAAGGTTTCATGTGGCAACTGCGGAGAAGAAGGGCATAACAAAAGATCTTGCAAGAATGCACCCAAAAAGAAAAAAAATTTATGTAGTTAGCAGAATATTTCATAAAAATTGTTGGTGAGTTCAGGATAACAAAATTTGATGTGTAATTGTTGATATTTTTTAAGATCATAATGTAGTTAGATAGGTTTTTTTTTTTTGTATTGAGATCATACTTTCATAGAGTTATTTGTTTATGAATAGTTTCTATATATATTAGTATTAGTACCCAAACGGATGCGCGGACACTAATCATGTCAAATATTTAAGTTATTTGGATTGCATGTAAATAATCTTAAAATTTACACTTTCTCAGTAAATATAGATAATCATTGGATATTAACTACATGAAAACAATTAACCATTTCTTTTATTTTTCTTTTTCGATACCATTCTTGCCGGTGTCATTGGAACCTAAAAATAATCAAGAAGCAAAATAATAACTCATATTTGTGGCAAAACAATCAAATGTTGAGACAATGAATGACTCTTTGGATAAGACTTAACTCTTTTACTACTACTTGAACTCTTATTTGGTGCGTTGATATCTATTAAAAAATATTTCTTTCTTAAAATTTCAGTTTCTAAAATATTATTTTTCAATAATAATTATTTTTATAATAATGTAATTGAAAATATTATTCTTAATTCAAAACTCATTTTAATTGCTATCTAAAAATATAAAAAATTCTTTAGCTAGTGATTTTTTTTACTTCATTTTGATATTTGACATTAAACCATGTTAAATATCTGAGTTATTGAATTATATGTAAATAACCTTAACATTTAAACCTTCTAAATAATTATAGATAATCGTCAGATATGAATTAAGAAACACTACATGAAAAAAGACTAACATTTTCTCAATTCTCGTAGTGATAATTTTATTTTTGCATTATTCTCATAGGTGTCATTAGAACCTAAAAATAGCCACAAAGTGAAATAATAACTCATATTTTATAGCAAAACACAAAGGTTGACACGATATAAACGATTCTTTGATTACGACGTGATCTTATACTACGACTTGAACTCTTATTTTCTATGATTTTATCTTTCGAAAAATATTTCTATTTTGAAATTTCAATTTCTAAAAATTTATATGTATTATAATTATGATTATCTTTATAATGATGCAAGTGAAGATATTATCCTTAATTTAAAATTCACTTTAATCGGCTATCTAAAAATTTAAATGATTCTTTGGCCGAATTTATTTCAGTATGACTCCACTTTAAGTTTATCGATATCTCTAGCCCAAGAATTTAAATTTTTAATACCCTATATATACAAAAAATTTGTTCTTTGAATCATTAAATGTTAAATTTGTTGATTATTATTATTATTATTATAAAAAATTACATATATTGTCTTAAAATTGTCAAGTAGTTTATTTTTCGACACCATACTTGGTTTAACCTTAATGCAAACTACTCAAATTGCATTTCAATTCACATTCGAATATCATATCAGTTTGTTAGTAATAGTGATTTTTTAAAAACGACACATAATGTAAATTAAAAAAAAAATATTCTAAGATATCCTTATCTTATAATCTATGTATTTGAGTTAAAAAAAATATTTGAAATCGATGAGATTAACTTTCAAATTTTTTATACTCAACAAAGATGAAACATAAGAAGAAATTTGTTGTCATCTTTTATTTCTCATTTTTAAATCTTTCTAACATTTTTTTCAATGTTTATTTTCTTTTATCATATTTTTATGTCATTATTTCTTTTGTTACAAAAAAATAATTTATTTAACTATAAAAGGATGAGTTTTAATAAAAATTGCCTACATATGAACTTTAATTATATTTTTAGTCTTTGATTGAAGTTATTTCATATTTTTCTTTTGGCTTTATCTAATCAGCCTAAATAGGTGCTCACCCGACCACTTAAATTAAAAACTAAATGATGTATAATTCATATGTAATCCATATATAATATGTGTATAATCGTGTATTGTCGGTATATCATCTATTTATATTAGCTATAAAAAGTAAACAATAAATATGGCTTGATATTATGTAAATATTCCATAAGATTTCGGTTTTTGAGTTTATCCATGATATAACTTCTATTATAATAATTTTAAGGCTCTCTACGAATGTTCATAAATATCTTATCTTTTTATTATCTTTGAATTTAAAAAAGTAAAGAGTTTCTTCGAAATAATTTGTTTAAATTTAAAAAAAAAAATTCACATCATACCAATTTTTTCTATATATATACTCTTTGTTACACTTAAAAGTTGCTATAGTAACTATCAATTAGAAACCAATTTATCTCTTGTTGAGTTTGAAAAAAAAAACCTTTCACATAATCTAATGATTCAAAACTAATATTCTTCAACGAAAAAAATATTATACCCTTGCAATATTGGCTTGGCTGCAGCTAAATGAAGGGGTTTCAGCTTATACCCTTCAATTCCTTGAATGTGCTAATTGAAATTAATGATAGCAATTGTATAGCCGAAGTTTTGTTTTTTGTTTGATGTCCATTTATGCAAATTGACCCTTCAAACAAATATTCTTCAAGAAGAAAAAAGAAACAACTTTTTTTTAATATTGACTGATTTTGTGATGTTTCTTTCTCCAGCATGTATGTTTACTTTATTATATATGTAAGTAAACTTTTATTTGGTTTTGTAAACTCTTTTTTGTTATTTAGATAAACATAGTCGTGTACCCTTATATTACATTTATTTTAAAAGAACTTTATTTTATTCAAATCTATCTACAATGTTTCGAAGAACTACACTTATAAGATTTTAAATGTGAAAGAGTTTTATAGTTATATGGAGTAGTTTTTTTTTTGCTAGGGGCGAAGTAGTATTTAAATAATTAGAAAAAATAACAAAAGTTACTAACATGGTTGCATATGATCATTAACCGAATTAAGTATGATAACATGATAAAAAAAAAAGATAAATTTTATTTTTAATTTAAATTTGAATTTTAGAACTTTATCTATAAATTCA